AGACTCTGTTTGGTTGGTTGCAGAGTGGCACGGGGCGTTATGTATGAATGCAGCATAAGTGCTCGAGTTGACTGCCTGAACTAGCTCGCAGGCTTCGCCCCATTTAAATACGTTTTTGCTCCAGTTGATAAAGAATGATTATTAGGTCAAAGCTCATTGTATAGAGACCTGTATCATCTGCGTACCGACGAATCTTTGCTGACCCTCCTCTTCTCCGTCTGTCTGTCTCTCTCTGTGTCTCTATTCTCTTTGTGTCTCTATTCTCTTTGTGTCTCTATTCTCTTTGTGTCTCTATTCTCTTTGTGTCTCTATTCTCTTTGTGTCTCTATTCTCTCTGTGTCTCTATTCTCTTTGTGTCTCTATTCTCTTTGTGTCTCTATTCTCTTCTCAGGTTTCTACGAGTTAAGCGACGGGGCGTCCGGCTCTCTTTCTAACTCGTCTAACTCGGTCTTCAGCGAGTGTTTCTGCTCGATGGCAGAAGCTGATGGACGTCTCATTTCTGCAGGTACAAGTCTTCCTCCTCCTCCTCCTCCTCCTTTTGGTTACTTTGTTGTGTAAACAAACACACACACATTCCCTCACACACCATCGTGTTGCGCCTTCAAAATAAAAATCTGAAATATTGAATCAAGTTTAAACAGTAAAACAGATTGATAGTGTTGATATATAAGCATTTGAGCATTTCATAGGCAAAATGGCCGCTGTCATTTCCAGAGAGAGTGTGTGTGTGTGTGTGTGTGTGTGTGTGTGTGTGTGTGTGTGTGTGTGTGTGTGTGTGTGTGGCAATAGATGTGTTTGTATTTTTGTTTGAACGTGACAAAACATCTGGCAGCTGTTTCCCTGCTGAAGGCTCAAACTGTCACACCTCCGAATACGACTCCAACACTAGCCTGCCAACACCTGACCCGCACACACACACACACACACACACACACAGTCAACAGTGTGGATGAATGAGATCTGTCGGTCTCTGCAGGAGGATTTCTAACTTCCTGCAGCAGCTGTGGATCTACTCTCTGCAGACGGCTGCAGTAATGAAGCTCGGTTCTTTCTCAAACATCTGTTTTGGATTATCTGATAACAAGCATGACACACCCAAAACACACAGATATGATCCTGAAGGACTTAATGCATGTTCAACTCCTTCACAGCTGCCTGGTCTCCTAGAAAACACATGTATATGAACATAATCTGGAACATTAAAATGCATTTTAAGAATACTCTCGACTACTTGGGAGCCTCAGTGAAGTATTAATGAAATGAAGTTCTTATGTCTTTAACAAAACCGGAAAATGTGGGTTTAGTTTGTCTCAATGTTATCAAGTCAAGCTGATTAATCTGACGGTTGAAAGTTGATCTAGCTGTAAAACTGTTGGTGTCTCCTCAGGAATGAATATATTTTGTCTCCTGATGATGGATCACCATTAGCGCAGTCTTGCCAATGTTACATTTGGTTTTGCACTGGCCATTTACTGCTCACTGTTTCAGCTGACATTTGCAAACATGCGAGCCAAGAATAAATTCTACCAAATTGGGGATAAATTGTGGTTGCAGTCCCTACAGTGTAATGCAATACCTCCCCCTAACCCCCCACCCACCACTCTCCCTCTCTCTGTTATAACCCATATATGAGTTTAATTTCACATCCAGGAACAGCGGTGAACATGGAGAGTTAACATTTCACGGCACACTGTCTCCACAGGAAAGAATTTTCCACTTACTAATGCAGCCGATCCAAACAGGGTCATTACCTCGTTCAACAGAGCGTTTCATCAGAGACTGCATTGCTAGGAAAAGAGCTCTGGGCAGCGTTAGCTTCCTGTCAGCTGTTGACATTAGGAAACAGTTCAACGCAAAACAAATTTAGATCCATTTAGACTGTTTATGTTTGAAACTGCGAATTGTTTAGTCGTGTGGTTTACAGCTGTTCATTCCTATAGTGTTCATCTGTTTGCAGCCCACAATTTATTTATTTCTACCCCTGTCATTGCTTATCTTATTCTATTTACATGTATATACACTCCTGCATTTACTTGGTCCCTTTCAACATCTTCTACAACATTTACCTTTTGTATTTTTTTGACATGTATATATTTCACTACTTGAACATTGGTCTTGCAACTTAATCTTGCACTATTTCATTCCTACGCACTATTTGTATCGGTTTTTAAATGTGTTGTGTTGGTTTAGGGTCTTATATGTATATTTATGTTATATTGGACTGACGTAATATGCAAATGACAATAAAGCCTTTGAATCTTGAACCCTCCTCCGCCGTCCAAAGACTTAAAATAACAACTGTGCATATCCTGAATCTGCAGCTGTGCCTGGCTTTGATTTATAATGTGAAATTCTTTCTCGTTCTCCCTTTTTAGATGAGCGGGCCAGCTGTTTGGAGTGTGATGGTTTGGTTGGAGGACTTTGTGACGACTCGTCTTTCTCCGGTACCGTCCGTCGCTCGCTCTCGGCTCCTCACCCGGTCACCCTGGATCCTCTTTCTTCGGTGGCCTCATGTGACTCCCTGTCTAAATACCACTGTGACTTGGTGGCAAAGAATGGCAGCGAAGTTTACCGCTACCCAAGCCCTCTTCACGCCGTGGCTGTCCAGAGCCCCGTCTTTCTACAAATGTTGGGTCCAATCAGAGACGAAGGGCCTGTAAGAAGCGTTGAGGCCGGTGTTGAAGGACTGAAACTGGAGGCTTCCCCTCTTTCTGCTTCTGTTTCAGCCCCTCTTGTATCTCAGAGCTCCTCTTGGCCGGCTACCTTTTCCTCCCAAACCCCTTCCCTTAAGCGCCTGGACAGCTATATCTTCAGTCTGCTGCAGCGGAGGGCCCTTCCCGTCCGGACCAGCAGACCCAGAACCAGCATCAGCACTGACCCGTCAAAGAGCATCCTGAGGCAGGCCAGTCTCTGTGTGAGGCAGGTGTCTGGGTTCGGTTTTGGGACTCTAAGGGGGTCTGAATTCAGGCCCTCCTGGCCGGCTGGAGGCGCCTCAGCGGAAAGCTCGTCTCCTCAGAGGCAGTGGTCCGTGGAAAGTAAACCTGAGGAGCAGGAAACGCCGAATGTTTTCCCTGATGTCAGCGTCGAAACGATGCAAAATGGCTTCAAGATGAACAGTGACCTGGCAGAAAACCAGAACAGCTCTACTCATGGTATTTGCATCCAAAATGGCTCTTCTGTCACTCACATGGATACAAGCACTAACAGTCTGCTGAAACAGAAAAGCAAAAGACTTCTTCCTCCCTCAGCTGTTTCTACTCTGCCTAAAGACTTCAGGGAGCTGGGTATTCCCAAAGCTAACTCCTCTCCCAAAGAAACCCAGCAGCCATGTTACTTTCCCGACCAGGACCTGCTCCTTAAATCACCGGCAGTCATTCAAACTTCTTCAGCTACTCCCAAGAACAGCCCAAGGCCTCTTCAAAACGTCCAGACGGAGAAGGTTGAAAGGTCAGAGGTAGCCTGTCTAGTTCCCTCCTCCCAAAGTCCGGATGAAGCAGAAGGAGAAGGAGGAGGAGGTCACAACGCTAAGTACTTTTCCAGCCAGGGTCAGAATGTCAAGCACCGTAAGAGTAGCAGCAAGAATGTCAAGAGTGTCAAGGTGAAGACCACCACCACCACGATGAAGACGAGTCGCACCTCTGAACACAATGAGCATAAGTCAGAAAGAAGAGGTGATAAATCCCATCACAGGTCTAAAAAGTACCGGCTGTTGGAAGACGGAGCGTCCATCAACATCAAAGTCTCTAAGAGGGCGCCTGGTGGTGGCAGTTCTCATGGGATGAACTCCTCCAGGATCAAACGCCTCCCTGCCTCCATCCCAGAAGGCCGAGTTTTGGACAAACACGACACGTCCACGCTTGGCAGTGTGCGGTCAGGTGCATCCAGACATCATGGTCACCACCATCATCATCATCATCAAGGACGGGACCAGGTTGCCGTGGTCGCCAAACCCAAACACAAACGGAACGATTACCGGCGATTACGTGCGATCATGGAGCTTCAGTACGACGAGGCGTTCAGGCACGCTCAGCGACGTCAGAGAAAGGAGTTGTTGAACCAATCTGCGGCAAATGTTTACCTCCCCCCTGCTGGACAGGTGAGCAGCCCGTACTCCTATGTGGCGAGAAGTGACTCTGAGTATTCGGCCGAGTGTGCATCGTTGTTTCACTCCACCATCGTCGACACCAGTGAGGATGAGAGGTCCAACTACACCACGAACCGCTTTGGAGACAGTGAGTCCAGTGAAGAGGAATACATCGAGGAGAGCACCACCACGAGTGACACTGAGGAGAGTGGAGGAGGTGGTGCAGGGGGAATGGGAAGAGGGAGGAACCAGTTAGGGGCAACTGGGGCCAGGGCGGCGGGACAGGAAATGACTCCAGCTCAGGCAAAGGCCTTCGTCAAGATCAAAGCGTCTCGAAACCTGAAGAAGAAGATCTTGAGGTTTAGGTCGGGTTCTCTCAAACTCATGACCACCGTTTGAGTCAGCAGCTGTTCACAACCACACCCATGTGACAATTCCCGGAAAGGCTAAACAAATACAAATTAAAGTGGTATAAACAAACAATAATAGTACAACTAAAAAAACTCGGGCTAAATTGAATTTCGGCTCCTACATCTAGCATACTTGAACCAAACCCAATTGTGGAGCAGACCTGATGGGAAAGCAGACTGTGGATGGACAAGTGCTGCATTTACAAAATGGAAAAACACTTTTCTATACTTACATTTCGAACCATCGCCAAGCCTCTTTTGCCTGAGGGACAACGCCAAACTAGTAATCAATATTTGTAAAAAATTGTGTGACCTTTTGTTTACGTCAACAAACAAGAAAAAGAAAAGTGCTTTTTTCTTAATTTGCTCATATCTCCTGTTTAGCTTTTAAGAAGGTACATTGGATTCCTTCTAACACAGCCTTTACTGTTAACCAGTCGAGTCCATCTGAACAACCCAGTATTGTGGTAATCACAGGTGAGAGATACGTTTCCTCTGTTGCCATTTCTTCTCGTGTTCTTCGGTATGATTCCTAAATGCAAAAAGGGAACAAGGAAGGATGATTTGGTGTATCCTTTAGTTTGTCAGTAACCTTGCAAAAGTTACATAAGCTACTTGATCTGCAACCATATGGCCTTATTAACTTCCTGTGTCTAAATTTACCATCATGCAGATCATGTGGGGTTTCAGTTACCCACCCCTCATACCACAGCACTGGGTTGTTCACATAGTGTGTGTGGGTAAACACAAATAACACCAAACATCTGAAGGCGCTAAGTAGTGTGAACTTATAAGTTCCCACATCAAACAAATCAACATGGCAGCCAAAACAGTAAACAAGTATCACTGCATTCAGGATTTAAGGAGCATTAGATGCTTTTGGGGAACTACATATTTTGAAAAAGGTGAAGGGTTGGTTTGGAGTTTTGGATTTAGCCAATTAAATTGTCTGCCTTCACTTTCCTCCATCTTTCCTGGCCAAACAAGTGCCTCAGCCGGTGTAACCCTGGCCCCCTAAAGAAGAGAAATCAAGCTTTTCTGTCTGCTTCAAACTGAATAGTCTGCACCCAGAGTATTTTGTATCTATTGTCAAAGTTCCCTTCTACTGCTTCCCAAGGTTTCTTTGATATCTCCCCAGCAACAAAATATCCCAGTTCAGAAATACTGGTAAGTTATTGGGATCTCTAAAAAACAATGTTTTGGAGAGCCCCCCAAAAGCCCAAGGGTTTTATCGTCTTGAGGCCATGAAAATAGGCCAAATAATAATAATAGGGGGCCACACACCGATCTCATGTTTGGACAGTCCAAAAAGCATTTTAGAACAAGCATACTGAGGCTTAATGTAATAAGTGGGGCTGTAGTCAGGTTTTCAGAGAGTTTATTGGAAAGTTGGAAAGTGATTTTAGGGGGTCCCTACCAGAGATGGGGTCGTTACTAAAAAAAAGTAATATATTACATATTACTTTTTTTTAAAGTAATGTATTACACTACTTCGTTACTGTCTACATAAAGTAACTCATTACTTTACTCGTTACTACACTCGTTACTTTACTCGTTACTTTACTTGCAGGGCCGGCCCGCCCCTCCCTACAGGCAGATCACGCAGACTGCGGCGCACCTACAGAGTAAGCGCGCCACAGTTTTGCCTCTGCGAGACTCCACTTGCACCCCCAATTACTATTGCATTAAGGAAGACATAACACAAGTCTTTCTTTTGATATGCTCTTTAATAAAATAGGCTACCAGCCTGCCACAACAAGCTAACAGTCTGTGAAACGTAAAGACACTAATTAATGAAACCAGTTCAAGACGCATTATTCTTATTCTTATCATTCTTTATGAGCACAGTAACGGTAAGGTATCTAATTACTTATTTATTTAGTTTGGTCAAACTAAAGTGGTAGAGACAGAATTCCTACAATGAAGCGGGACATTGAACTGTTCACCCGTGAGAGGGCAATCAAGAAAAGAGAGCGAGCGGCCCCGTTGAGGAAGTTTACAGATGAAATGACTCATCCATGTTTATGCAGCACTGCACGTGGAGATGTGGACGGGCAAATCGCGCAGATTACGTAGGCCTACATGTATACAAACCTGCGGCGGCGGAAACCCCTCTTGTCTGTCAGTGAGTGTGATTATTTTATAAAAGTAACAAAGTAACGCGTGTCGGGGCAATGTTAGTAACTGTAGTGTGATTACTGAATTATAAAAGTAACGCGTTACACTGCTCAGTTACCGACAAAAGTAATATGTGTAACGCGTTACACCCAACTCTGCTCCCTACATGGTTCTCAAAACGTCTCCAGAAGGTTCTTCAGAAAGTTGTCCAGAAGGTTCTTCAGATGTTCCTACATAGTGATGAGGTTGTCCCTTGCTACAGTTATCTCCTTATTTCCTGCACTTTGAGACAAACTGTCAGCAGACAGGACGACCGGTGTACCATCGTTAATCTGTCATTTGTGTGTAGCTTTGTTTTGTATTTATTACAACATGAACTTTTCCCTTTGTTGGAGCGTACCTACACGGCACGCCAAACGTCTGTAAATGCTTCTCTTTTTTTTCACAGTCATGATTTACGATGTAAATGTTTTGATGAAAGCTATTTAAAACCTAATATATTTGCTTTAGGATACCAGGCATGGTACCGACTGACAGCTGGTCAAACAGCAGTTTATATAACATTTATACACTAAAGATGATGTGTCCTTCTTAACACTTTCACCACTGTTGCCGACATTTATTATGGTTTTGCATTATAACAATTGTGGTAAAATCTTCTATGTCTGGTTGTGTGATAATCCTGCTTTCAGATCAGTGAAATTAACTGTTTCTCTACATACTGACACCTAATGTAAGCAAAAAGACCTCTTGGTTTGAATGCCTTGGACATAGATGTGGATTGTTCCTACTTTTTTTTTTGTGTCAATATCAAAATATCTTCGTGGACATTCATAAAATCTGCAACAATAAAGTCAATGAAAGACTGTCAAGACCTACATTATAGGTCAACTGGATGTCAAACCAACCTAACGTAGCCTGGTTTTAGCCAGTTTGATGCCTTTTTACCAACACAATGTTCACATATCTTTTTATAACAATTTATTTTATATAGCTTCCATTTACAGTCAATGTTTCATATCTCTCAAATAAGACTCGGATGTTTCAGATAGATATCATCTTTTTGTCTCCTGAACAGAGATCAGTTCAGAATGTGGTTGGCTTAGCTTAGCTATACAACAGTTAGCTCAATCATAATATTAGGTGTTTGCAAAGCTACATGGGTTGGTGAAAATATAAGCCAATGTAACATCAGCTACCTACAACAGCACATGTTATGATAGCTGTTCTAGCTAACGAGTGCATACCAGAGTGTCCTTAGCCTAGAGGAGCTCAAACACTTAAGGGGGAAACTGTTAGCCTAGCTTCATCAAAAGAGAAGGAATCTATCGTATGATTTACATATTGTTTATTAAAAGGTATACAAATGTGGAATGTAGGCACTGTGTTTTAAGCAGCAGTTAGATTTGAAGCCATTTGTTAAATCTATTTGTTGAAATGTTATCTATCTGTGAGCTACTTCTTTAGCTAGCAAGCTAACATGTTCAATCTCTAACTGACAGTTTAAGGATTAGCATGGAAGTAAGGGATAGGAGGTATTTGAAATATAATTTAACAGTCAAATTAAAGTGTATGATTAATTTAAATTAACATCAGCTAGCTTTTAGCTACATGCTGTTTTTGTTGTAAGTGACATGACTTGGCAGTCCCATTGTATTTTGTGGTTTAATAACTACACTTTATGTCACTTTAAAAGGTCTTGTTAGGGTGCCATAAGCTTGGGAACAAAGGACCTTGGGGCATAAATACACTGATATAGCTAAGCTAACAGTTACCCTCTGCTTCCAGTCATTGTGCTACAACACAGTCTCACGGCATTTCGTGTTATAGTCACGAAATTAATCTATTGTCACCAACACGATTTCCCCCTTTTTTTCGTGTCACACAGAACGATTTTAAAAGCAATGTAAATAAAAACAAAAAATACAGATTTCAGTATTCTGACGTTCCCATTTCTTTTCCTAGCAGATGGCAAAAAAACTCCGTCATTATACGATTTAAAATAAAAGGGATAGGGTTAGGCTAGGGTAAGATATTGATTAAGAAAATGTTTTACGAACAACACAGCTTCTGGTATTCCAAGACCCGACCGGACAAAAAGACGTGGTGCAGGCACGAAACATACTACCAATAGAAATACATTGCTTTTAAAATCGTTCTGTGTGACACGAATAAAACGCGAGAATGGTGTTGGTGAACACGAATCATCCATCCATCCATCTTCTCCCGCTTATCCGTGGTCGGGTCGCGGAGGTAGCAGTTCCAGCAGAGAGCCCCAATCAATCAATGTTTATTTAAATAGCCCAATATCACAAATGTTACATTTGTCTCAGTGGACTTCACAGTTCGTACAGAATATCAGTATGACAATACAACACCCTCTGTCCTTAGACCCTCT